CGTTCCAACCAGAAATGTAAAATACTAGCTGTGCCCGCGGTTTCACTCGTGTGACATTTATAGTCTATATGATATTTTGATGTATACGTTATATTACTAAAGTTTTATCAAAATCCGTTCTTACGTGAAAGAGTAACAAACATCATTCTATACTCAAAAACATTCGTTTTGTGTTTATAATATTAATAAGATACAGCAAAACAGTAAATACTATTATTAAAAATATCTATTTCTATTTCATAACGCGACAGCAATAAGCGACGTAATTAATATGATTTTCTCGTTATCGCTGTGCTATCCACAAAAATACATTCTGTAAAATAATACTGACAAGACTGTGACAACTCATAAAAGTAATTGACTGTAATAGATAAAACGTTAAACTTTCAAAACTTCGTATTAAATTTATAATGGAAAACTCTCTTAATATCTCAATTACCAGCAAATACAAGTAATCATTTCCTATTAAACGTAGATAATATTTCCATGGAAACCATTGATTATAAACGTAGTCTTTAGCCGCTATCGAACTTTTAAACGTTGACGTAGATAATTACTTATTTTATCACAGTGCTGGAAATAATAATAGTATCTTTCCAATTTAATGCCAATCGATACTACAATAAGTGTATTACATGCTTCCAGTATAACAAAAAAAATACCATATTTGACACAATAAATTATATTTATATTATTATTATTACTACGACTTAGGAGAAAATTTTTTCATAGATATTTATTTAATTATTATTTTAAAATATTTTATTTTTGGTAATTATTGTCACAAAATTATACAATCTTGTTTTGCACAGGAAATTATATCTTTCCCAATAACCAGATATATCCATAGGACCGATGAGTGATAAAATGGTGCACCTTGAGAGAGGCTTACAACCAAAAATTGTCTGCTGTATATTATGATTAAATTATCTTATGTGTTGGCATTTAACAAAGTAGCCAACCCTAATACATTTGGAGGACGATCAATATCGGCGATCAAAAATTGACACTGCGCTATGAAGCTCACGCGTTCCCTAGGGAAATTTCACCGCAACGAACTTAATCAGAGAAAAATATTGCAGGCACTAGAAACGGACCTATGGGATCTCGGGAAGGCCTATGACTCTTGAGCTGTATTCTCGATCTCGATTAATATTATCTACAGACTATTACATGCGGCTTTGCTTTGTGGAATTAAAAACATATTTTCTTAGCGGACACTTACTTTTTGAAATAAAACATACATCTAAATTTCACATTTCAGATAAATCAGACAGCACAAATAATTTTATAAGTATAGATTGATTATTGTTTTATTAAGTATAAATAGATAGATGAACAATTTCACTTACAAGAAATAATCTTCCCTCCTATTCGTCTCTCATTTTGATCCTTCCTTTTACTAAATAGACAATAGTATAAGATTACGAATACACCAATTATGAAGTACACACATATCTAATGCCAACTGATATATAACATGACATATTTATTTACTACTGTCATGTATGTTTTATGATTTAAATATACATGTTTCTGATAAAGCATGGCTTTGACTGTAATGATGCCAAAAAGAGTAATCAAAATGAGCGTAGAATGTAACATAATACGTATGTACGTATTAATGTACAAAAGTATTGAGATATTGCCAACCTTATTTTTTATTCCTGTTGTGAACGTACATAGTATCCTGCTGTGTGTCCATTTGATTTCTAAAAAAGATTATAAAACGTCGTAGACAAAACTGACAGACAACAAAAGAAAAGGACAAATATTATAAATTGGGAAAAATAAAGCTCTTTATCTATGTAATATAGCGAACATGGTTCTAAAACTAACTTACTTCACGTGACGTTATATTTGTACAGGTTTCGAGATTGTGTTGAATGTTCTGTATTGATTGATTGTACGTACTTTGAAACAAAGCGAAACTTAATTTCCAATTTTAGAAGTGTCAATTTAATTAGAAGTATTTAACAGAGTTTGCTATGCGAATACATTAAGCTCGGTTCTGCGTTTAATGGGTTACCATGAATTGAGCTTTAGGGTTACCACAACAGACGACTAACATAGAGTAGCTTTAACAAATATTAATATTAGTTAAAAAATTAAAACGAAATGTTAATATCGGGATTATTTGATACCCTGAAATATAGCACTAATCTCTAAAAGTCCCACTGAAATTACTAAAATATTGATTGACAGCTACTTTAGTTTTAGATTCCGAGAATACGTAATTCGCTCTTCCTAACTTACGGGTATACGAAATTACGGGAATAAGCTAGTCGTCATAATAAACCACTTACAATTTTAAATTATAGTTTGTACCATTTGGGTCGTATTTTGAGTTTTAATATAACATCAGTACATACTTAATAGCACTACTGTCATTACAATAAGATTCGCTGAAAAAAGGTATAAAAGGTACTTAAAAATAAAATGTCTTTTATTTCATATATTCAGATCCACTACTAATTTTAGAATTGCAAATACTTCGTTCCACATAAAACAAGCCAAATCAATTGAGACAAATTTGTAAAAAGGTTTATGAATAAAATCGGTGTATACTTAAAGAAAATAAAGTACATAATAGGAGTTCAGACAAAAGATTAAATTTAGAATCCTCTTTCTAGTCTTTCGGAATCAGTTAGTACCTAAGTCAGACTTTAATAAAAATCATTTATATCTTATGAACCCTATTTGCGTAAATAGATGCTAATAGGGATATCAATATTAATTTATGTTCATATTACAATTAGCAAATCCTCAACGTTAATTTCGGTGTGTGGAATATATCTCCGCATCTCTCCGTTTCATGCCAATAAATTTGGTTTAACGAACACTGCTTACATATTCTACACACCTCCAAATTGGAATATCTAAATAAAGCATGTATGGACATTCAATATTCTAATGTACTCACTTTTCAATTATTGAAGTAGCTGTGGTACAATTTACAGCGTTGTACAATTATAAGAAGTGATTGATAAATATCAATATAAAATATATTGATATTTATCAATCACTTGAGGAGGGTACACCTCCTCTAGAGTTTGAGTGAGTTTCTAAAAAAATTTCATTCCATTCCATCATCATGTGATACAGGGTACTCCCCAATACTGATCCAATATTGTCCCTGATATTAATGTCGTGTGTAGACTGATTTATATAATTTTTTGGTAACTAAAAAACTGTCTTACTGTACCGTGATACGGATAGGCAAAGAGCCATTAAAATCTAATCATTCTGCTGAAGCACAGCATCTGGTTAAAACTTGCATACTTTTAGGAACTGGATCTGTGGATTATACAGGTTTTCTTTATTTTGAACAGACTTTTATTCAATATTCTTTGTATATTTTATCGTTCTTTCCACTCATCTTTTTGGGTAATTTGATATTTTTTTAAATGCTAGTTGACATTTAACTGAGTTTACGTTTTACACACATATAATTTAAATGACAGTAGAATATTATTATGATATCAGCGTTAACTCGATATCAATGATTGCTTTATTGACAGATAACAGATATTAATCATATAGTATGAATAAATTTAGGATTAGTGCATCCGTAAGGTGTGCAATTCAGAGAAGTAGGTAATTATATTTAAATTGATTATGTTTCAAATCGGTTTATAATTAATTTTACCATTAGAACTACCATTGATTGTTGTTATATGTTTTCTGAAGTATTTTTTTATTATTAATTTGAATATTTTGTGTATAAACTAACATAGTTTTCAATGTAATCCTAATAAGCACACCATATATTTTTGCCTAGGACACATATGTATAAAATGATCACTACGTTGATTATAATGAGGTATACATCTAAAAAGTGATAGCTCACGTAGCCATTGCTAATTGCGAGATCTTTGTAAATTTACAATCTCCAATTAAAAATATTTTCAAGAGGGTCTCTCGAGGTAATAAGTGTCCCAATTTATCGATTTCCTATTATGTTCAACGCAACTTCCACTCGAGCACTGATGAGGATCGTCCGCCCTTCTTAATTAGGGATATGATCCGCAAGAAAGTAATTTCCTTGAGATTATCTTTCCGAACGATATGGAGCCCCAACCAGAAACGTAATAATAAACTGGAAAGGTCATAAAAGAAGATTAGCCGAGCGTCGTCTTTGCGCCTTTTGTCAAATATATTTCATGGTCTGACCCAAAATGTACTTACACTGTAATAATTGGGTAAACGGTCTCTACGATAAAATCAATTTTAAAGTTTGAAATAATTAAAATAAATATTTTCTAATTATTTCGTGTACTTACGTCATACACTGGGATTGTACGTACGGAAGGAACGTACGGAATGTATGAAGCGGGAGAATTTATATAATAAATAAACAATATTTTAAATATTTTTTCAACGTTTATCAATCCCTGACTATATTACGTTACTTTATTTTAGATTATATATCTACATAGATTTTATTTCATTTGTAGGAACCAAACATTAAGTGATATTAAATAATATCATATAATTTCGTTCAACATGTTTAAATTTTGTACACCAGAAGTTTCTTAATTTTACAGTTTCACTTTCATTTGTCAGAATGTTAATGTTTCAGTGAATTAAAACATCTTCTACAGAGAAAATTAAATTTAGCAATATCTATATTCTAGATGGTATTGGAAAAGTAACTAAAAATGGAAATAATAAAAACATATTCAAGCGGAATATGCATAGGATTGCATGCTCTTAGGCTACGATTGCATAAAATATGTTGCACATTTTCAACTAACTCCAAAAAGTTAGAGGTTATTAATGCAGTGTTAGATTAAAATATAAACGAAGTCTACGCCTATTCTGAATATTTCATTCTAAAATTTATTTCCTTTATTCCAGTATTAATCTAGATAAAAATCGATTTCTTTTAAACAATGCTAATTACATGATAATAACATATAAGATTACACGATAATAGACATGAACTGTGGATGCATTTTAGTAGATGTCATTATAATTTCGTCTTTTTTTATTTTCAGATGAAAACGACTTCTACTATACACCGGTGGAAAGAAACTTTGCTCAAGTTCAACCGCCTTTATTTCCAAATAGTCGTCCATCGAATTTCTTTGAACATGGGGATAATTACCGGGCCCAACCTGCACAACAAACTCTTTACAATGAGGGGCATGTTCGGTTCCCAAGTCCAAATTATAATCAAAATCCATCACCATTTCAACTGCCAACGGGTAGAAGTCAATCAGGCACACAGTATTATGTGAACCAACCCGAATTTAGTGCTCCTCCAACACCACAACGGCAAAGATTTAGGCCAGCTCTTCCATATAATTTTCAAATGGTTCACCCAGCTTCAACTAAGAGGCCCGATATATCACAAATACATTCTGTTGCATATCAGAATGATCCATCCAAACCTGAAACATTCCTAGGTCAAATCACAATCAACAATCCTGACATTGATTATTTACGTAACAGTAGATTTAAAAATATACCTTTTGATAATAATAGTTTAAAAAGTAATGGACAAAGTGGTCATATATCACATGATGAAGATATAGATAATGAAAACCAAGATCTTTTTGAACATCATAGAGTTACTACTTATAACCCCGGAAAACTAATAAGCAAGTCAAGACTGAATACAAATCATAAGATCTCTCCTTTCCATCATTACGATTCTGTTACACTAGAAGAGAAGGCGAACTTTCATGCTACTCAAAATAAGCCTATTAGCAGTAATAATGAAAAAGCTGATGATAGTAAGATATATTCACACAGTTCTTCCACTGAATACAAAGCATTATTAGACTTGGAACCTTTACTTGAAGATGATATTAGTGATATTAGCTCTTTTAGGGAGCTGATGAAAAATACCAGAGGATCTTTTGATGTTGAAGTAATAAAATCAAATAATAGCTATAGTGAGTTGGAAACAGCTCCTGATAATAAGCCAGATGCAAGTTCTATGAACACTGATAATATTTCTAAAAATATGCCGCCATATTTCAATATAAGTGAAACTACCTCTTCTGTTATTAGCAAAACGTCTACTGAAAAATCTATAGAAAGCCAAAATGTAGACGATGACATTGAAAGTCACGAGATTGTAGAAGGCGAAGAGTATGAATACTACGAAGATTCTGAAGATTCCGAAATTAAACATACTACACAACATCCTCAGACTACTGAACATGTTACTGATATTTATGACGAGTATGATTCAACTGAAGAAGGTGATAAATCTAACGATGAAAGTAAATCAAATGTTACGGTACATTTTGATGTTTCTTCAACGAAACCAATTAAAATAAATCAATTAATAGACGGCAATGTTAAACAATTTGTCAATCCGACAGAAATTGATGAAAAAGATGAACTAATTAATAAATCTACACCTATTTTCAGTAATATTCCCATATCTGAAGAAGAGGTTAGTTCTATAGAACAACCTTCAATTTTAGGACAAGAGGTGGTGTCTGTAGTAACTACAAAAAGCGTGGTTAATGGAACTATATCTATACCTGATATTACAATTGCCCCTACTACTGCAAAAGTAAGTGTAACACCAGAACCTGTTACTTTACAAAACCAACAAGATAAGGACACATCTCTTCTAGGTACTACAGAAAATGTAATTGTAGTAGCATCCGTTCAAACAAGTAGAAGTGTATCAGGCGCACGATTTCTACCGTTTCCCTCAGTAGGACAAGAAGGAAAGAAACAAATTTTAGCTGACGACCAAACAGATGAAGAAGAATTAGTAACAAAAGACCCAATGTCTGAGTTTAGTGGTCTTGTAAGCAGTTCATCTACTGAAAACATTAATGACAAATTAGACAGTATACAATCAGAGCTATCAAGTGCTGTTCTGTCAGGATCATTAGATAATGAAAATAAAAACATTGAATTAATAACTGAATCAACAACAGAATTATTAACTAGTACATCAACCACAACTACTACTCCATCTTCTTTAAATGTTTTTACACTTAAAAGTACCCAATCTACAATATCCACTGATAGATCATCTCCAGATCCATTACCAGTAATGATAAAGAAATTTGCTCCTCGAATTACAACATCGACTACCCCTAAACCAAGAAAGAAATTAGTTACCGTAATGGATGATTTGTCTGGATTATTACCACCAGGATATAAGTCTCGTACATCATATAAAGATAAACGTACTAGTACAACTACTACAACTACGACGCCTAAAACAACGACGACTACTACTAGTGTGCCAATGTCTTCATCAGAAGAAATAAGTAATGGTACCCAAGGACGCTCTTCAGGTATCAATAGTAAAAACAGGGTAATAGTTTTAGATGGAAAATCTTTACTTCCTAAGGAATATAGACCAAAAGAACATAAGGTACAAGAAGATTTATTTAAAAAATTACAAAAAGATGATCTTAGTAAATTTTTACCACCTGGTTATAAACCACCTGTTTCTGATGAACCTGTTTTAAAAGTGGCAACCGAATCTGACATTATCGATAAAGTTAAAAAAATTGATATATCTGAATTTTTACCAAAAGGATATAGTCCTAATTCTACTACAACTTCTACGACAGAAAAATCGATAAAAAAGGATAAATTAGCCGTCAATGCTGTTTCAGTCGACATATCTTCATTTCTACCACCTGGTTTTAAATTAAATATAAGCGAAAAAGAAAGTGATGATCAATTAACAAACTTTAAGGTCGCTGATGTATCAAGTTTGCTACCACCTGGCTTTAAAATAAACACTTCAGAAGAAGTTGTTTCATTTAGCTCTACTACAAAAGCCCCTGGAGGAATTAAATTAGTTTTTCCGTCCAGACCAGGTAGTAAAACTAATAGAAAAACTACAGCAAAACCTAGTGGTGGCCTAGGTCCAATTCCTGTTACACCTAAAATTCAAAAAGGTTGGCCTACAAGGTAATTTTCTATTTATTATATTGATTCTTGTGTAGCAAACATATAGTTTTTAAATATTTTTAATGCTTTTTTCACTTGCAGAGCATCAACTGAATTTACTGGTTGGCCGTCTCCTTCTACAACTCCCTTCTCTATAGAGAAGCTTCTAGAAGCACAAAGGAACGCCACTGCTACTAGTCCAATGCCCAATTATTCAACCGAGCCGACAACGCGACGTATTATAACGACTACTACGACTACACCTAAGCCTCCACCATCGACTACTCCTGGAGTATGTCGAAAGGAATGCGATATAGCAGCCACAATTAAAATAGTTGCAGGTAATCACGGTGTTCCTTGTATTCCTTTTTTGGATGATTCCAAGGAATAAAAATATAATTTATTATGTATTTTAATACTTTTGCAATTAGTGTTATATTCGTTAATGTTATAGATACATATGTTTACTGCTGTAATCATCTCAAATCAATATCTTTAGACTTTTATATGGGAAAACCTAATTTATTATTTATTTTTAAGGAGTTAAATGGTTACCAGAATTATTAGATCGTCATACAGAAGAGTGGCAACGACTAGCAAACGATGTAAAAGATGAAGTAAGTATTATTTGGTCCGTATTATTGCTACACTTTAGTATTAAAAAAAATATATAATGTTGTATTAATACATTAATATTAAAAAAATGCCTTTGTTAAAAAAAAATAATTTATTTAAATTTTAATACAATATTATTTTTATCTGCAGCTCAATTCTGTTTATTCAAAATCAGATTATCTGAAGAAATGGTATAAAAATATACGAATTGATGGATTCAGTCCAGGCTCAGTTCTTGTTGACTATTTCATTGAACTTAATGATGTTGATGAAAGAGTTGACACTTTGGATTTGAAGAAAATGTTCCATAAATCTCTTCATGACGCTAAAGCCGGTAGTGTAGTTGAAGAAGTTACCGTTCAACCAAAAGAAGAATTTGATTCAGACATGATGTTGGGAGATCAACCAGAAGAAGAGAGAATGAGAAAAAGTAATGAAAAAATGACAAAAACAATTGACAAGTCTGCTGGGAAATTGGAAATTGGAAAGTTCGTTATGGATCCTGCGTATACGGAATTTATTGGTAATTTTAAAATATATTTGTAAGTTTAAAAATATTCATTGTTTATACACATCTGGTAGTAAACTTTTATTATTTATTTTTCACAGTATTACCGAAACGCGAGGAACCCACACCTGTTCAACCTGAGGAAGAATCATTCCTACCACAATGGGGTATTGCTGTTATTGTCATAGCGTTGGCGTCCCTGCTATTTGTCGTCATATTTGGAGTCACTGTGGTAACTTATTTGATTTTTATCTTACTTTATAAAATAAAACTGGACCACAAATGTCGTAGTACAAGTACCTATATTATCAACTTAAATTCATTGCATTGATTTTAATGTCCTAAGTACATTAAAATCAACTCAAGAATGGTCCTAAGTACCTAAGTGCAAGATCAATTTTAAGGATCTAATAGATAAGACCACAAACGTTGGTCATTGATATAATGCCATTGTCTTACTCTTTTTTCTTAGTTTTCATCACAATAATAATATGTCCATATTAATCATTTTAGAATGTACTCAAAACCTACAAGTTTCTATTATATTAATATTTGTATATATATAGTTTATAATAAATCATGTACATAATCAATAAGGTATGACATTCCTATTTTTACTTACTTTACACATCACATCTAGACAGGTTCTAAATTTGACAACATATTCTACAGAGACAGTACAACTCGTGCTTATTATCTCCGTATTTCTTTTCTTTGTTATTTTGCCGATTATTTATAAAATCCCAATCAAGTAGATGTACATATCTCAAATTTAATCGAGCACACCTGCAAGTTCCTTTTAAATATTTAATCATCCTCCTTTTAGTTGGTGAATCGACAGAAAAGTGCTAAAGCCAAAGCACCAATTCCTCTTAGCGAGGATATGCTTCGAGAGCTGGATAAAAGTCATATGGGAGGTTTTGATGATATGCATCAGTTGAAGGAAAGGGAACTGCCCTATCTTCCATCTGGAAAGGTAATAAATGAACAAAAACTGTATTTTAAGTATATACCCTCATGGCTGTTATTCTAGATATGGCAATCAGAGGCCCTGTATTGAAAGTTGTGTTGGCGTTTTGATGAACGTAACGCAATACATTTCGCGGGGTTTATGAAATTCAACATGGCATGAGTCAAGTCGTCAAATAACTACAACTACAAAAACTAAATTAATACTAGAAACGGTGATTTCTAGTATTAATTTAGTTTTTGTAGCATTTTCATCATGAGTTAAGTAGAAATATAAATTGTCGCAAAAGTTAGGCCAGACGCGATGGGGTCAGCCGGTTATAGTCAGACTGAAATACTATAGGAAGACTGAAAACGTAATTAAAGAAATGTACTTATTTATTGATTTATTACTGAATATATAAATTGTACTTACATATTAGTTTAATTAATTTAACACTCATTTACAGCGTATGTCGACCGCTTTCATTGAACAGTTAGCGTATCCCAACCCTGGTGACTCTTGGCGGTCAGAGTGGACGCCTCAACTGCAGAAGTATATGCAGCACTACACTCCGGACTCAGGACGTGGCTCTCAAATATATGGGCCAGTAGGAAATGGATACGGGTACGTTTAGTTATTAATTTACAAATTTAATGGACAGATGGATGATTGTTTGTTACTCTTTCACGGAAAAAATACTCCATGAATTTTGATGCAACATTACATTAATATTGCCTATACATCAGAATAATACAAAATATGTATATAAAGTTATTATGTAAATTAGGCGAAATGTAAGAAATGTTAAGTAAGTCTGATGCAGACGAAGTTGCGCGGGTCAGCTAGTATAGTGTTGTCATAAGAGGAAAATTGACGTACCTCATATATACTAGGCACAATAAAATTTCATTTTATTATTATAAAGTATTTTATTTACCAAAACAGGCTTTGTATAAGACGTCGTTGTATTTCTAGTGAGTACTTTTGACATCATGCAGCTCAGTTTTTGACCTATTTTCAGCTTTAAAGGATTAGATATGAAAGTGAACTTATTGTGTACGGAGGCTGATAACTTAAGTCAGGAGTCTGAGTCTGAGTTTGAGAGAGTCAGTCTTTAAGTAGGAGTCAAAAGTGGAAACAATTTAAGGTGCGTCACATGACGACGTGCTATTCGTATATATAAGGGGCGGTTGCCGCATTCCATTATGTGCACTGTCAGCTCGTTTCCATTCTAGCATCATAAAAAGGTATAAAGTTTAATAAAACATAGGATTGATACTAATTTTGTCAACAGGTATGGCGGCGGTGGATCACAGCTCTATGGGCAGACCGGTGGTGGGTCTCAGGTGTACGGCTACACGGGTGAATACCCGCGCTCACACTACGGTCGGCGACGTTCTGAATACGATAGCAATTTCTAGAATACTCTAGCGATTATTATTGAAAACTTCTGAGACTTAACATACTCTTGACAATATCTTCTATTTAACCTCAAAAATTGCCCTTAGTCCAGCTTGTATATTTCATTAATTACCGAACATCTATAACAGGTTGTGAATGTTTTATCATCATCACAATAGTAAGAATTTTAGAATTTATATTTTATATTGTGCATGAAATTATAACTGCTTTTAGTCCGGCCTATAAATAACCATACAGTGCCAATCATGGTGCCAACAAATATTTCGATCACAATTCTTGTAATTAAATAACTAGGTAGTTTTAAATAAAATTATCTGCCAAAATATTAACCATACGACTGATTGTGAGATGTAAATATTGTAGATTAAGAACTCACTAATACTTTATTATATATTGTAAGTCGAGATTAGTAGTTGAGATCACGAGAGTTCATTACATTTGTGGCAAAAGTTTAATAAAGTACTTTCATTTTTATGTCATAAACTAATGTAATATACATTGATTAACTGATATATCTTATTATTCATACTTGAAAACTCGCATTTAGAATAAAAAGACGAAAATAAGATTATTAGACTTTTTTATTATAATGGTAATGTATGAAATAATTATAATACCTGCATTATTTAATATTGTCGCAAGTGTGGCGAACTCTCTCTGGCTCTCATATTTCTGTAGATATCTCTCTGCATACCTATATTTGCTCAGAACCTGTAGTAGAGCGTCTGTGGGCCGCGTGTGTGCGTGAAACGCCTCTTGTGCCAAATGTTCGTTCGTCCCTGTGTGTGTAAATATTATGTAAAGTATAGATGCACTAATATTGAATGATGCACTGCAGCCAATATTGGTCGTCAGTATTACTACTCTCTATCGAATCGTACCCGATTTTTTATAACAATATTGCTAAGTAAAATTGTAGCTAGTTCATGCAGCTTCAGCTTTTAGACATAGTCATTTTAGATGTAATTTCCTGATAATCAGTTCCTACTTCTTTGGTCTCTTTTAAAGATTTATAAATTGAGTATATAAGAAATACATAATTGAATAATAAATAAAAAACACTGCCATATCATGAAACATACGGAAGTCATATTTGCAAAAATAAAAATAGAATGTCACTGTTTGTTTGTTTGTTTGTTTGTTTTGAAAATTATGATTCTTATTTGAGATTAGTAATACAGACTATTAGTTGTGTTAGCCGTAGCCAACGTATTGTGGCTAGTTGCTGGATGGTTTGTTTATAAATGCTCTGTCTACAGGAATTGTGTGTGTGATTAGTATAATGCCCATAGAAATTCGAATACGTAACACGTCGAATTGAGAAACATTCATGTTATATATAATGTTAGAAATTGTCGTCGATTTCTAATTGTTTCGTGTAAAATCGAACAGGTATGGAGACATAAAAATCTATTTTTAATAATAGCAATTAGTAAAATTAACAACATTAAAAATGTGAAGTTTTTAAAACTTTAAAGTGTTTTTTCATTGTCTCAAATGATCATAGATATCGATAGTAATTGTAAATTTTTGAAATAATAAGCGTTATAATTGTGTATTTACCTACCAATTAGATTAAGTTAGTTGCATGAATTCATGTATATAAAACAATTTTTGTACATGTAGATTTTTAATTTAATTATTATTATAGTTATTGACAAATTACATTGTTAAGATCCTGAATATAGGCATAAAATATTATGATATTTTTTATTTGACCAATATTTTTATTTATCCTTTTTTATGTAACTGTTATGACATGTATATTTATACATACATATAACTGTTATACATGGGTATTTTTAGCATAACCTTATTTATCCAATCACAACATAATCCAGCATCAAATCAGAAACATTCATCCAAATTATGAGAAACGAAGACTAATACGATCTTCAAAACTCAACATCAAAGTTTGATTTCATGCATATTAATGACAAAGGGATCTTAATATAAATTATTACTCGAAATCGTACAAGTTATTGATAATGACAAGTTCTTTCGAAGAATTTTAATAACCTCGTTAGGGGCAGTCCAACATTCTACTAACTTTGTTTTGCACTTCAGCCGTGAAAGTTTCCTCCGCAGTCCGGAGATGACTTTTGCCCTATATTTAAAATATCAGAAATTACAAGTGTTTCATTACATACGAGAATACCTTCCAGTAAACCTTTGCAGTGTGATCTTCACTATTTCTGATACGATTATGGTAATATTTTTTTATCATTTTTTTTGTTGCTAAATTATAAAATGAATCTCAGATACTACATATCTAATGCAGATCTAAAACGAAATAATGTAATACATTCGTTATTGATAAATGTCTGAAATTGCAAAGTTGAAACAATGGTGAGTTCATTTAACAAGGAATTTAAAGTATCTCGTCGAGGACTAGCTGACATTTTGTTATCTTTGTTTTGCATTTCACCAATGAAAGTTTGGGCTGAAGTGTCGAGATGAGTTTCATAGCCCGAGGTGACAATTTGCTGCCTATTTGGTGAAAGCTCTCGAAAAGAAAGGAATACAAAATGGCCTCAGATAATCGATTTAAGAATTTGTTAAATAATACTTGTTATTCATTATATTCAAATTTCAATTAACAAGAACGAAAGTGGCAATCAAGACTACGGTCCACCTCGCGGTAAACAGACAATATAAAATATATTCGGGCATTACAGACACTTGTAGTATAAAAATCTTATATCACAGTAATTAAGTATAGTAGTAATTTCACTGTCATATCACAAACTTCTTGTCAAAATGCCCAATATATATGAACTTTACGCTCATCCTCTCCATGGAGAATGTGACTTCTCCATTTTTTTTAGTTTGAATAGCAAAAACGGGCTGATGTCAAGCTACGCTATATTATATTATAGGTATATTAAGTTTAGTTATATGTTACGCTACGCTCTCGATAACACGTGATACACATACGTTGTTATTCCGGAGGACTAAAATGTCATGTCTCTTATTACATAAATTCACTACTTTATCTCATCTTCAACCAAAAAACAGTTTACAAAGCCATCTATTTGTAGGATGAAACAAGTGAAACAAAGATAACCTAACCACCACGCAGACGACTTTTTATAAAGTCTCTCAGTCAAATTGCACAATTCTAATATAGTACATTAAAAAACTTTTCAACAACAAATATAAAAAATATTTCAGTATTTAGTTGAATCATTACAGAAATATCAAAAACATTTAGGAAATGTTGTCCTAAGTAAGCTCTTACCTTCTCTTCAGAGGAAGGTTAAGCTAACCCATGTCAAGATATGTTAAAAACTTTATGTAAAGGAATTGAGACGTCTATCGATAAGTTCTCCTTGGAAAGGGTTGATCATATACATAAATGGAGGTAGAGGCAGTGGGTACCTCAATTTATATGAAAATTAAACGGACGTAGGTACTACATTTTTTTACTTGCGTGTGTGACATTACACTAAAAATTTTGATAGAAAACTTTCGTTACGACGAAATATTTACGCTGTTCTTTATATAAAAGATAGTCCGATCCATTTTTGTGATATAGACTATATTCACGTCAAATTTCATTAAGATTCGTTCAGCTGTTTAGTTATGAAATGATAACAAACCGACAGACATTCGCATTTATAATAAGTAAAATTTATATAATCACTTCTTAGATTATATGGTCATGTACTACCTAAGAAAAAGTCATAATTTCGAAAGCGCGAGAAAACTACTCACCCCACATGTTAACGAAAAGGAACTGTCTATATTCTAACTGCCAGATTGACATAGTATCTATCTTTTTTTTTTAATTTTGGTATTTTGTGAACATTCTACAGACATAGCATAACAAGTTGTTACTTATTACATTGTGTCTATAGAATGTGTAAAAGTTTGCAAAACAGACTGTTCTTACCCTATACCCAGTTATTACCCTAAGTATACTAGTACCAATAAGTCTGTCAAAATATGACAAAGTACGACGTTGTAGAGGCAAATTGAGTACGAGATTTTTAATAATTTCGACAAAAAGTTTTAGGGTTGACAACCCTGCGCACTATTGCATCGAATCTTTTTACCAAAGTTTAAACATAAAATTAAAATAGCAAACAAAAATGAACGAACGCAATGTAAATGCAATCCCGCCAGCTAACCACATTGTACGTATCATAAAATTTAATTATGTTGATGGCAATTAAAATAATATATTTGATGTACTATAATAATATATTAACAATATAATCATATGCATATTTAAACTGTAAAGTTTTCCTCTCATTGTTTCTCTAGGTTGAAATTTATTATGACGTTAAATCAAGTCATTAAGTTGAAATGTTTTTGCATTTCTTAGTCCACCAGTTCAATGTATTTTGATTTCAAGTCATAAATAACTTCACTTCTGGTAATGACAACATAATTAGTCCTCTAACCGCTAAAGTAATAAACAAACTCATTAGAGTCACACTTTATCGAAGTATTTGAAAACGGCGAAAATGTCATTCTTCACACTTTTTTCGTACTAGTTACCGACAGACGTTGAAAGAAAGTTTATAGAAAATTTCCAATTTTCTTAATTTATCGTTCAGTAAGATTATTCTACAAAGTATAAGAAAACAATACAAAACCTAATGATTAAAATCGGTTAGGTCGTTCTAAAACTATGCCGTGACTAAAGGAAATTAGGATATAAATTGTCCTATTGACAAATTCGAAGAATGCGAAATAAATATACACCCCGCCCTATTCCCAAACATGGTAACAGCAATCTATTTCTACACCCTCGGTCATGGTCAAAACATCAACAGCGGTAGGTATTTTCTCTATCGAAAAACAAGTGATAAATTGTACCCATGTTCTAGGAAAGATTTTGGCACAAGTGGTAAGGGATCGACTGTTACGTAAACTTTATTGTGAGTAGTTCTTATTTAGGGTGTCTTGCAAATTTTTATGCCGTGATCCCTGCTATATTATGTACAGAACAAATTGTATCTACAATAAAATAAGGTGGTATGTTTTTTTTAAGTTTTTTTATTATTATGTCTCCAGATTAACCCACGGATTTATACAATAGTATATATAACAGACAAATACAAATATTTATAATACACAATAATTTTATTTGTATTCCAAATGAACAGCCTTCACAAAATACATATAAGAGCATATATGGTGCTATGTATTCAGTTATGAGCAATTGGTGTCCAGTTGTCCTTCGTCATTTTTACTACATCATCCTTCCACCTCAACCTTGGGCTTCCTAGAGGTATTTTGTGTTCTCATAGTTTCCAATACTAGTTCCCACTCCAGTTTTTACTAATATATTTCACCAGGTCAACCTCCACGCAGTCTCCTTGGAAACTTCATGGTTATTTTCTGGTGAATTAGATACAATGAGTAATCTAACCTGGCTATTTGCTAATCCTGATATTCCCCGTAAGCGTTATCCCACTTAGTAAACTACCAAAAAGGTCTCAAAAAGTCGTTCAGCAAAATTATTTAATAATATAATTTCAGCATTTGTAATTCTGTAAAATCCAAACCTTAGTCCCAGAACCCCCTATTCCTTTTAATTATGAAGAAAGAAGTGCTCGAATCTCACTATAAGCCCATGGAAAATATTTCTCGAGTACTATCTGAAATCAGCCCTTAATACTTAACGCTACATTCCCCTACAAGAACCCGTATCAATATAAATTTATCTCCTTAGATTTTGTCAGCGTTTTCGTTCACAAGATATAAGGGGGTCTCTTTATTTATTTGGATTAAACAATTTTTTCATGCACAGATGTTTTACACGTAATAATAATTATAATATAATTTATAGGTTATAATAAAATAATGTAAAAACTATTACTATTTTTTGCATTATCCATATTACTATTTCTATTCGATACTATTTTATTTATCTAATATTTTAATATGCCACATATTACCTATATATATTGAAAAAAATAGAACCGTTAACACGAACAATTCCAAAACCAACCTCACCTTTATCCCTATAGGAATATAAAAAATAAAATACTAAAAATATTTACATTATATTATATTTACATTAAATAGCTTATGATTAGCTATTTAATGTAAATATAATATATAATGTGGTGTTATAACACGACATTGGTAATATAATGGTACGCATAGATAAGGTTCAAATATTCTATTTCTGGAGTAGTTTTCAAATATATCTAAACTACTCCATGTATGCCTAGCCTAAATAAGAATATTAATGTTCTTTTTGTGCTACGAATGTCCGACAGATATGTTTCGTATAAGCTACTCTTACCCTCGTCGTGCCCCGATAGATAGCATGTTCAAAGATAACCAGTTACCTAGTATGAAGGTCAGTGAAACTGATTTGGAAACTACAAACTAGTTTTGAAGTTTATGTCTCTATAAATAGGATATGTTAGGGAGTAGTACACCTGGATTTAGATCCAAAGGTTATAAGTTCGAATCTTCCAGACCAATAAATTTATATATATGCCAATTTATATCTTCGACTGACTTTGGTAATGGAAATACTGATAACGTACATAAAATTAATCCGAGAAACTGTTGAATTCTAATATACCCTGCGAAATGTGTTTATCACATTGTGATAAGCTGAGAAAGCCTCTGTCTACCCCATCTAGGATAACAATCGTGATGGTATATTGCTATTAGTATAAATAGAAATACGATATGAACAGAGTTGTAAATGCTGGATGGAAATGAAATGTAGAGTCACAACGAACAATTTTATAAAACAAATACTTCAAATGCAATACACTTTGTATAACATCATTGAATCTTAGTCACATTAATATGAGACCACTCCAGAAGCTTCAACTTTAATATCAGTTTAAAGAATCCTCAAAATTGGTTCATATATAAACAGTTAATATACATATATAAATAGCTAATACACGTAAAATATCACAAAAAATACAGTCTAATTCGGAACTACCACGCTTTTTTTTAACACGGATAAAAAAAATTAAATTGCACTATTCATCTAGCCGTTTATTCACATTATGTACATACACTTTGAATAAGTGCCTCATTCCTGAGAATAGCAATTTTCTCGCAGTGCAATTTCAAGGCAGGTAAGTAGGTACTGGCGGTTCACCAATGTGTCGTGAAGCTTCCTAAATGTGATTATCTTAAGGTAAACGATCTGCAAGGAATAAAATAATATGGAATTTTCATATCATTACAGGACCGCTACACTTATCAATAACTTAGTAATCAAGAAAATCTATTTCCAAACCTAATTTTATTGTTACAAAATGTCAAGTTATTTTTTATTATATACACATCTACTTATAAATAGCACGAGTAGTTGGAGAATAGTATGGTAGTTGGTAGCTCTTAAAAAGACGGCTAACTCTTAATAACTTTTATGTATTATTAAAACATTTACGGTAAATGTACCTTATTCGTCTTATAAAATAAGAATCATAGTATTCTACTATATTACGACTGAAGTCGTTATAGTTATGTATAAAATGTATAACGTAGATATATGAAGTTATCTGTCTCTACACGTGACTGTGGTCTCCGGAATACCACATTCAGTTTAATCTAGCAGATCGATGTCGACTAATGAGTAGATTTGTTAAACGTTTCAAACAAATCCGCTTAGACTTCGTTAACAGTAATATTCTATGAGTACATGCGATATTGTTCCATACTGTAATATGCATACAGTTGAATAGGATATTGTATCTCATTCGTTATAAAATTTACTTTTCAGCCCTAATCTTCTTTTTCATAAAAACTAGAAGCAGTTATAAATCTATTTCTACTATTAAAGTCGTTTTATCACTTTCGTTCAATCTAAAATATCTATTTGCTAGATATCTAGCGAATATATCACGACGGTCTTACTAGCAATAGGGCCACCTACTAACTTTTACTAATGATCCCTTTTCCACTTATAACTGTTATTGTAGTTATTATATAGTATGATAATTAAATCACGTTACTTAGCGGACAGTGTAGTATAGTTGCTTTAATAGCAATAGGTCCAATAATCAATAATCCTCAGTCTCCAGCTAATCTTAATTGTATATTATTTGTATACACATATGTAATGTAAACAACAAAGAAGGATTACCCCCACACCAAAGAGACGAGATCACAAGCAATGTTGTTATAAAATATTGGAATAATGCCCTCGGAGCAAACAGGAAAAATGTTTTCATTCCAATGAAAGCCTGAAAGTAATGCAATCTCATATCCGTAAAATTACATTGATTTCTTACGTACCTGAGACCATATATTTTCATAGATGGTTGTAATAGAATTAATATAGATTGAATCGACTGAATTAATTTGGTATAAACATGTTACTAAGTATACATTTTCAGATTACATATTATATATCATTCTATACTACATACTTATCTATATACTCATCTATACATTTACTTAATATTTTTATTTAATTTATTAACTCTTTATTACACCAAATATCTATAGATGATGCCGAGAAAAATTTTGTCTTACGTCCTCCTTCGAAAATATAATATAATACTGTATTTTATCCACGGTACTAAATTTCCTAAGACAAACTCACTTTAATATTACATGGGACGCAGTATTAATATTTTATTTAAAAAATGACGTACCCTATATATTCAATCCAAGATACAGCGAGGATGATAATTATATATTTTGAGAACAATACTCACAGATAAGCAAATAAACCGACTACGCCTTTCATGCAATGAAATAACCATCGTCTTTGGCGTATACAAGAATAGCACCAAAAAAATTATACAAAATATAATACTGTCCGTGTTATCATAATACGTTTGAGTTGCTATTCCTGACGATTAGAATTTTATACCAGTAATTCCCCATCCGTATTGATTCAACAGTCAACAGAAATCTCATTTTAATATTACCTGGTAGGTATTTCATAAATTTTGCATCAACGGCGAGTAAACAATGACTTGCTTAGTTTTCACTAACTCTCAACCCATGTTACGTTGTTCATCATAGTGCCTTTGTAGTTGTGGAGGTAATAAATTGCTACGTCAGAGGTCTGCAAAATGCGGTTACAAGGTCAATCAAATGTTGATGACGTTGAAGCGAACAACGCATTAGCATTGCAAATGTGCCCACTTGCCCCAAGACGGTCCCAATTAATAACTCGTGAATTGAACCCGCCTGAATTATGTAAACCAACGTTGCCACTTCGTGACAAATTGTGGCGAACAATCACAGAATAATGTGCGCATTGGCCTATTTCGAATGAGTAATATCGAGGCGCCGCGCCGTCCACTTTTACGGATGTAGTTGGCCAGGCTGTTTTTACGGGCAAAACTTCATCAAGAGCCATTATTACTTCCCAAAGTGCAGTAAAAGTAAGTAAAGCACTCATTAGTCATGAAAATAGAACGATTTTAGTGAACAAAGATTCGAGAGCTCAGAATTATGGTTTTGTACATAATGTTTTATTTTACAATATTTATTTTTTTGTTTGAAATGGTAAATAAGCTGGTTGATCAGGTAGAAAATTATATTATACAATCACATGGACACTACGTATATTGTGTATAATAATATGAAACTAATGTAATAATAATAACAAATCTGGAGAATTTAGCGCCATCTAGTCCCAAGCGAAGGAGATGTGTTATGAATACCTGACAACTGACAGAAATACCCAAATAGATGTTTCTTTTGTAAATATCATATTATACATATAATTAGTATATTATGGCCTAATATCCTTAAAAAGCACTCAGTTCTTTTCTATTATACAAAAGTTTGTACTGAGGAATCAAACCCGCGACCATCGGAATGACGACGATGTGCTAAATCTCGGCCATCGAGAGAAGACAACATAACACGGTCAGTCAAGTCCTTCAGCGTCCGCGTAGGTACCTACTTATTTAAATTTTAGCCGATATCAACCGCGTATTATCAAAATTGCATTTGCATGCATTTACTAGACATATATTTGCAGCTTTAAGCCTAATTCTACAACCTAATTCTGAGTTCGGAAATGGTATAAAATACCATTTCAGATTATAGATAACAAGAATTAGGTCAGATTTAGGAGGAATACGAATACGAAGTTTAATACCGCCTTCTCTTTTACACGAGGAAAATATTATCAGCAAACATAAGTAATGTATGTATGTATATTGAGTTTTAAGATAGTATTGCATTCCAAATTTAGGAAGGATTTGATTATAATTGAATCGAAATTAAAAGAAAACCACTTAAAATACCATTGTTTCTTACTTGAACATTGTGAATTAATATAATATATCATATGTTTGAATGTAATTATAGGATATTATAATAATATAAGTAATTAAATACTAAGTTATTAGCATTGAATAACTATGTTATATTATTAAAAAAATAAAAATTGATACTAGCAAAATTAAACATACACAGTACAAATGGAATTTTCAATTTATTTATGTCTATGAATATATATATATATATAAATTGTTATTACAACGTTACTAGTTACTATATAGCATCTGGCAGAAATTATTTTAGGATCAAGGGTGGTGACCAGTGACCTAGAGCTACTTTATAATGTTATCCAATTGCTGACAATTCTCAATTATATTAGATTGAAATCGATTTGTTTGCGATTTTATATTAAGAATTTGACAGTTTTAGCTACAATCTATGTTTGCAAAACTGTAAATTTATGTTTGATTTAAATGAAAATCGTTAGCAACTGCTTTTTATAATTAAATAATTACTTGAAAAGTTAGAAAGGCTTACATTTTAGGATATTATAATAATAAGAAATGTAAAATCGAATACAATCGGAATAGTAACCCATGAGGCACAATTAGCGTAGACGAGAGTACCATCCCATTATCATACATAATAAACATGTCCTAACCTGAAACGTTTTTATGAAATAGTTAGACTTTGTTATGTATGTATCCATTAAGAAACATTTTGTTAATTCCTACTGAAACAAGAGTTAAGAGCAAAGTGATACAACACATTCTCTCTGCTCCTATTTATAATATATACTAGTAAAATCTCTTCATAATAACTACAATGTTCATTTCTTTGCTTAGTGGTGTGTACTTTAACATACTTGTATCTGTATCTGTATCTGCCCAACGCCTACTACATAGTTATCTACGTAATCTCTAAAACAAACAGTGGAGGATAAGCTAGGTGTCATTTCGGGGTATTATTGAAAGCGATCTCATAAATTCTATTTATAGGGGTCACTGGATTTTCATGCATGAAATGTTATAGAGAAAAATAACATAGCTTACGACTTTGTATTTTTTTGCTTATTGTACTAACATTTATAAAAATTAGACTGAAGGGAAAGTGTGTTAGTACAAAAAATAGTTAAAGTTAGGACGGTAATGCTAAAACAAAACGCGGTACAATTGCCATCTCGATGTTTATATATATCATACAATTCACTTAGCGCAATCTTAGGTAGATTGCGCTAAGTCCTAAATTAAGTTGTAATTTTTTCTTTTTTTGTAATATATGATTATGATATGATGCACCCGCTAGTGCCATACGCCATATGGCGGGGCATTAGTAGGGGGTGATACCAGTTATACGATATCTTCTCAAAATATTATATGCAATGGACGTAACACCGTGTAATATGAAATACATATTTTCATTTCCGCTATACGATAAGCATCGTAAAAGCTATTCTGTCTTGCAGGCTGACTTTTCAAAGCGTTCGAATCGAATTCTAACAAAAGATAAGGCACATGTGGGTTCAAACTATATTTAATCACTAGTGTACCAATTCACAATAAAATTCTTAGTAATTGTATGCCGTGGTCTTTTCTTTGTGAATTAAGACAAGAATTGCACTAAGTAATAAACTAGGATGTAATCCATTTGTGTACCAAACATACATATATTTTAACTTCCAAGCGTCTTATCAACTTTAATATTTTAAATATTAGCACCAGGCATCAGTAAAAAATATAAATTTACATACTAAGTTACTATCTAAGGTAGGTAGTAGATCACTATGGCACAACTCTTTAAAACCCTTTATAAGCTATTTATATGTCCCAATGCCCATGTTTGGTAATTACAATCATTTCTAACACATGCATAGTAATGATTTCGGCACATTCATCATCATACAAATCCCTTATTGGATGGATAATCCCACTACGAGACCGTGATCGGGAATCTAAATCCAATAACAGGAGGACAGAAGACCAGAATCCTGAAAATTAGATACTAGTATCAATGGATTATCGTCGGTATCAAATCGTATTTTACATGGATAATGTCTCCCATACTCGATACTGTATTAACCTACTTTCTAAACTCGATTGTATTTGTGTTATGTTACATAATTCTAACAATAATAACGAAAAAGAACGACCTGAACGAACGACTGGTAATCCTTTTCCGTTACCGTAAGAATCATCTCAATCGAATAGAATGTAACATTATGAATATTTAAATATCGTCTACCATGTAGATAAATACTTATTTGTTCTATTGGTTTGTTCTATAGAGCATCTATGGATTTTAATAATAACAAATAAATACAGCGAACTAAACATGGAAAAGATTATGTACAAATATTAATTATAATTAATACCAAATTACGATTTATTAAAGAAAGTAAATGAAGAAAAATTTATATTAAAACAAGCGGTTGTAATAATATTATAATATGACTTGTATAATAAAGTTCCAAGAAGTTACAGCACAAAAAGTTAATTATAAAAATTATGGCTTTCTCCTGAAATCACTCGCAAACTTATCACAGAACAAAAAGAAAAAGTGATAATAACATTAGACAAGAAATTAAAAAAGATAACAAGTAATGAAGTAAGTATTAGTGGATAAAGTATTAGAAATGCAATAGATCTCCAAAATAAATTTAAAAGTCATGAACTGCGAGTAGTAATAACCCATTAAAGTTCACAGCCCGCTTTTTGTCGTCCTTATACGCACACCCGTCTAACTATGAAATAATTTACAGTGGTATTCCACTCATATCTAGTTATTCTCAACGTATTGTTATAGCAGTAAATTTTAGTAATATGTATCTACGATCTACCACAATAGATAACACAGATCACATGGGAGAATTCATTAAGGTCGGCACTGACTACTACAGCCAGGTTATCCTGAATATTATTGTCAATTGCCGACTAAGTGATGAACACAATACTTTACAAGCCTTCTTTTTATTTAAAAAATAAATGATAGCAAATAAATACATCTTAGAAATAAACCATAAAGGTTTACTTCCTTATAAAAAATTGAGATAAATGTAATAAAAAGTATTAATAATGTGAGATTACAATTGCAAAAGGAATCATATAAGTCGCTTAACAATATAGCTATATCGTTAACTACAGCCGAATTGTAAAAGTCTATTTTTTAAAGTCGGTAATAACCACCTACATAATTTATCCGCAGTTATAAAATATAACATAACAAAAACCAACTAACTTCTCATTTATGGGCCTGCGTCACTGCAACACGTATTGAAATTAAAATTAAACTAAGTGGCATGGTAAACAGCTGTTAATGATCTATTGGTTTTGTTAGTTTTACCGAGTTCGACTTAGCTTAAGTCATCTTAGAAAAAAACGTTTGTATCAAATTTTTATCGTGCCTTTTTTTTATCATTAATATATACGTATATTACGTAAGATTACGTAATAATCAGAATATCGTCGATAAAAAATAATGTTCTTAAACGTGAACAAGACGACGAAAGAGTGCTAGCGATATTTTAATGTTATACAGAAATATTTTATTTCCTTCAGCCCTTCTTATTTTTCGCCCTCCACGGGCACACCATGAATAATTCAAACGATGTGAGATTTAGCTCAAATTAATTGTACAGTAACCGGCGTCCAGCCACAACATACATTTTCCATCAAAGGGATTTGCCCGAGGAATGCTGGCTAGGGACTATTACATGTGGGTACCTAATATATATACTATATATACCTACTGCTCTTGAACTTCACACAGTGACTATTTAACTTTCCACTTTGAAATTTTAATGCTGGCTATTGTGTACTATATATTTATAAGGGTCTACAAAAGGTCTGTTAAATATATTGTAATTGAAACTTTTGTATTACACATAGGTATAAGGTATAAAGGTAAGTATGAATGTTGACTTAGGTAATCTTAAACATGCTACATGTGCGTAAATTAGTAGTTAATATTTGTTCCATACCGTATATAAATTGTAGTGAGTGCAGTGTTAAGTTCTACAGGCGGCAAGTGTCTCTTCATATAATATAATACGCCTATGCTTGTTATTAAATACTTCTAATTGGAATCGAAAAATAATAATTTGGAATTATAAAAATATGTTAGTTAGGATATTAGTTATTACATGACATACATATATATATATATATATATATATATATATATGACCTAAATTTCTTGTAATCATGAATCATAAATCTCTTCCTAATCGTGAATATGTATATTCACGATTACAAAATTTGTAGTCTTATTTATTTCATTCCGGGCGACAAAAATGCGAATGTATAAATAATTCGTTATTCTACAATACCGCAGAAAAAAATTACAAACATGTATAAACATGTTGTAGTACGATTTAAAAATCCCACAAAAGTTACATCTAAACAAATGTCCTAAGTATATATGAATACACGTAAGTATAATTGTGACTAAAATTTTAAAGCAAACGCCTCCTGTAAATAAAATTAACTCATCCTTAAAATGAGTAAACAGAATTACGAGGTCGCTTTATACACTGTTCAAAACTATAATTACCTAACCCTATTATAGTTGAAAAAACATTAGTAAACTTATGAAATCGTATAAAGCTCTATGTTAATGTTACGTAGAGAGAACAAAAAGCTTGTTTCAGTGCAAAACAATAAGTGGCCGCGTGCGCTCGACAGCAGACCGGAAAATTGCTCAGAGAAGCGATTAAAGCCTGTAAATTGTTTCACAACAATAGGGTCCGTTTGCGACACATTTGTTGAGGACACCATTAAATCTTTTATTTTGTAGGGCAACGCGGAATGTCGTATTAGCAGCAGTCCATGCAAACTTAAAATTAACAGATTTATATTATAAAATCGGTTAAGGTTGCAAACGAGAAATTTCAAGGTTACTTCAATATTTTAATCTGAGCTCTCAATGTACAATGATCCTCGTAAATTAATGTACTTCCAATTAACTATGTTAGATGATTTCTATGAAATTATAAAAATAAGTATACAAAAATAAACTATTTCTAAAAAATCTTGGTTAGTTAGGTAGTAGTATAAACTAAAATTCGTGATAAAATTTATACAAGTGCCACAAGGTAATAAATACTACATGTTCCAAAAAATAATGATATAAATATGTTTACATACGACAACTATATCGCGTAATGTACACAAAAAATGAGAACCTCCTCCTTTTGACAGTCAATTGATAAATAGAAAAGTTTCGCTCCTTTCCTGTAGACTGTCATCCAAGCCAATAAATATTCCTACATACATACATATTTACATAACAATTTATGATCTCGAAATTGTACTATATACAAAATGTGTTTATCAGAATTACATAGCTACCTATGCTGAATAATATTAATGTTGTAAACCAAGTCGGCAATCGGAGACGTGGTTAATTTATTTTTATTCTTACGGCAATTATATATTTTTATGATAACTTTGATTGTTACTGGGTTAGTTTGAAACTTTCATCTTTCGGTATCTACTATTTCCTCTATACCTACAGAAATAATACTAATTTATTTTGGAATCAATATAATTCAATTACCTTTAAGAAGCTGGACGATATTGAATTAAATTTAGTATATAGATAGATCCTGTCCCACATGAACATACAATAGTGTAATAATTATTCATAATCACACGATCAGCACCAGCCAGTATATTTAACATTTTGTCCTTTACTATTAAATACTGATCTTTATACTAAGCGACGAGAGAAGTTTATATTAACTAAAATAAACTTGAACTATTTAATATCTAGTAAGCCAACTGGAAGCTTGAAGTTTGATAAAATCATAATGAATCTATGATTCATCACATAGTATTTACTACAAAAAGTAAGTATATGCTTGTTCTGTATTTAAATTAACGACATTAACTATTTCAGAATTCTTTAATAGAAGATATTAAAATATAAAACAAACCATTAAATCTCTTTAACTAGTTTTTTTGTACGACTTTGTTACAGTCTATATTAAAAGAAATTTCTTATTTTTATTAGATTTTTTTGCTAAGTCAACCCATTTTATTTATTCAGATGTCAGTAATACGTACAGGAAATTAACTAACAACAAAGAGTGCGACATTCCGGGATTAAAGAGCGGCATAAGCCATTAATCACGAGAAACTGAGAAAGCGTTTTGGGAAGACATTTTGCTGAGCTGTGTAGAATATAATCACGCGTTGGAACTTTAGATATAAATGTAGTACTAATAGTACAATGTGACATCTGACGGCGGTAAGGTCGTAATCTAAACTAATATTAAAAAGAGAAAAGATTCGTTTTTTATTTGTAATTTATAATCTCACTTTACATAACCTTATTTATTTATTTATAAATAGATTTATTTATTATTGGATGGAATATGGCCGCCCATATTACACTAGACAAGTGAAATTATTATAATATACCTTTTATAAGACATAGTACCACTATTTTACTATAAAAAAGCTAGATTATAATAATTGCACTCATCTAGAGTTGCACCCACAGGTCGGTAGTTGATCGTACGTACGTAAAAAGTACTACGATATCTTTTTTACAATTTAACAAATTTATTTTCTTCTTTCTTTGTTAGGTAAAAATCTATGTTTTTGAAATCAATAACATAATAAATTAATATAGACATATTACACATTAGCTGTTTTATTTACCGTGGCTATTAATTACCGTACCATGATTTTAATATTCAACGATGTAGAATAACATAGTACTAAAAATAAAAACCTACTTACACAGCCATTTAAGTCAGTTGGTAAAGGACAGAAACAACAAAGAAGGAGAATTGATATAACATAAATAATATATTGCAAATGTAAACACATTTCAACGAAAATGAAGGGTCTTTTGCTATTTACTTTGTTTCAAATGTGAATCGCAAACCACAGTGTGCGGTTGTCTAAATATTACTCGGTTTTGTTATTCAATGTTGAAAGCTTTAGATTTGTATTTTCAATATATAAACCTGCAGATCAGATTTGATAATATAAAACTTGTACCTTTTTTCAAACCATCTTGTATAAAAATAAATTATTCCTATGACATAATAATAATATCTTGGCGGGATGGGATTGTTAGTAGTGTGGACTAATAACCTCATTGATGTCAATGTACCATATCAGGTTGACCTCCACACGGTTCCTGAACACCATAGTGGTAAATTTATATTTACCAAGATGGGCTAATGACCTGACTTCATGCTAATTTTATCATCTTCCATCGGTGCCCCGACAATGTAAACTGTTAGCGCAGACGGGTACACCATACCATTACATACATCATCAAAAAAAAAATAGCCGAATTTAGAAATATATGCAATTACTCTTCTTTTTCTTTGTTTATTCTATTTCGTTTAAGTGATAGTTGAGTCCATATACTATTCTAATAAAGATCGTAAACAACCCTCTTGTATCAAAAATACAATATGAAGAACGTCCTCATACAATTCGATCGTACTACGGGTTTGTCATGTAGTAAAAACAAATTTGAAGATCGATATGATATGATATGGCTGCGATGTAATGTGCGTTTGCTTTACACTACTCAATTTGTTGTATAGGATGACTATGAAGTAATGAACGGACGATGCAATACTCGCGGCAAGTAGGTCATCTGTAACAGTCTTTTGACGATAACCAGTCACTTAGAGAAAAGCAGAACCTATAGTTTTTTTTTAGTATAGTGTAGTTATTTTTAATAGAACACCTGGTATTATGGGAGAGTTTCAAATATCTTTCCATCTATATTTCTATTATTATTTTTTCTAATAAAGGCTGCACCATTGAAGTTCAATCAAATGAAACAAATGGCACGTTCATTGCTAAAATCCACACAACAAAGAGTTATTTGTGTTGGCGGTGAAAACATTTCCACGAACATAATAGCTCGGCGCAATTGAAAGATTCGCTATCAGGTCAAAGTGACACATTTCTTTCTCAGACCATCTTTTCAGACCGTTTACGTAAGTTCAGCAACGGCTGATTCAATAGGGGAACATGTGTGTTGACGTCTGATTAATGGCTGCCGCGAGTTTCTTCCTTGCTTAACTAAGATTAAAAAGAATCATAAAAAATATATCTTGCTTTACGTATTTGGCGACGCAATTGATGGTATATGACTGTCTGGAATACGCCACAATATTTTTGTGTCAAGAATGTTATTAGGATAAAAATATACTCGTAACTGTATTTTTGACATCTACACTATTATGTGATCCTTTCTATTCATTGTGTAACAATATTGTTCATTATCTATCTTCTCTTGAAGTAAAAACTACCAACAAGGTGAATCCCATTCTCCATTATACAAAGATTTTTCTTCTTCTGTAAACGTACCAAATTATTATTATCATCATTACCTAGTATAAAACAAAGTCGCTATCGCTGTCTGTCCCTATGTATGCTTAAATCTTTAAAACTAGGCAACGGATTTTGAAACGGTTTCTTATGTAATTCAGAAGGAAGGTTTATATATATAATACATGTACACCTGGGCGAGTAGGCTAGTATTTTATATTATTAATTATTTTATTTTAGTCCCCAAAAACTAAACATAAATCGTTTGGATATATTAGAACAAACCGAAATAATTCGGATATCGATAACAATCACAAAGTGAGTAAAATTGACCAATATATTACGGGTATATAATAAAAGTACATTAAAAGAGACATTGTAATTAAGAGCCTCCTTTCTAGGAGTTAATATAATAGTTGGGGTGGCACTTTATAGTAACTCATAACTTGCAGTCTCCAAAGAACAATTATGGGAATAATAACTATCTATAGTAATTTGTACATATTTAGACACAAGTAGATATCGCAATGAAAATTAATACAAACTATATTCTCTACGTGTATAATAAAAAAACTAAACGGCAGTTGGAGAACAAATTTCATAAAAGGCAATACTGGATAAGGCTGAACGTGTAAGGGGTAACGAGGCATGATTATTAGACGAGATTTGTCAAGAGGGGCTGTTTCGCCTCGTATCTACCAACCCGCAAACGTGTACTTTTTTATATTAGATACAAGAAATAAATCGCAGAATGTAGAGTATATGT